ATAGTCAAAAATGATCATGGCGGTGACAGCACGTGTTCTCTTCGCGGTCTTCGTTTTATTCTATGCTTTCGAGTATTATGACAGCAAATCGAATGTTTCTAATAGAAATGATAACAAGGAGAAATTTCTTTTGAATGGCTGTTCGATTGGAAAGAAAGTTCTATATGGAAAGGCTTGGAGAAACTTTAAGTCTTCAAAATCTTCACGGAAGCGAATTCGTCAAAAGAGGGCCTATTCGGTTGGTTTGGAATGTATGGACCCTTACTTTAGTTTGCTGCTTTGTGGTGATGTCGAATTAAATCCTGGGCCGACAAATTCTTCTAAAAGTACCAAATATGTCGCAAGGGATGAGACTCCCGATTTCTCTGAAATTTTACTTCGACTTGAGAAGAAAATTGACGATGGCCAAGAAAGCATTATTGAAAACCAAAATCAGATGTTACTACGACTTTCAGGCATTGAGAAGGATATCGAGTATTTCAAAGTCGAAATTGACGAGATTAAAACAAAGCAATTGGCCTTAGAAGAAAGAGTTAAGTCGATGTCAGAGAATATTGCTATAAATTATGACCATGGCCGAGACCTACAATTTCTAATGGATCGCCATGAACAATATTCGCGGAAAAATTCTGTCAGGATAAGAGGAGTGTCGGAGCAAAATGGAGAGGACATTGAAATGGTAACGATTGAAACCTTGAAAAAAGAACTTGGTGTTTGTACTGAAAAACCAGAAATTGACATAGTTCATCGTGTAGGGCGCCGTCAGGACAACAAACCCCGTTCGATTCTAGTTAAATTTCTGAGTCATAAGACAAAGGAGAAGGTCATGAGAGCGAAAAAAAATGCAAAAAATGTAAAAGTAAGTGAGGATTTGGCACCAGGAATTAAGCGTATTTTTGACGAGGTAAGCTCGAACCGCAGATTTTTAAATATCGACAGTGTATGGACGATTGATGGTAGAATAAAGCTGAGATACGTCAATAATCCTAACACCTTCGAGATCAGGTCCTATGCAGATTACCATAGCGTAGTTAATTTAAAGCAATAGGATCTTGGCCGAGATGGAAAAGCTAACATAAAATATCAAGACCAAAATTCAACGTCTAGTTTACCTAAAGAACTTCATCAGAATGTGCAACAAAAATCCTGTCTATCTAATAAAAATTACCTAAACTTTTCTGTGTGGAATTTCAATGGTCTTGGAAGCTCGAAAGCCCAAAACATCAAACAGACAGGCTGTGATTTTTTTGACACAATTTTAGAAAATTCTGATTTAATTTGCTTTTCCGAAACATGGAGAGATCCTGTTGATACGTCTTTACTTTATTTAAATGATAACTTTACCGAATTCCACGAGCCTGGTTGTAAGATTCATTTAGGGGGTAGACCGTCCGGGGGCATGTCCCTTCTAGTTCGCAAATCAATCCTTAAACACGTTTCCATTGTCCTTTCTGATAGTTACCATTTTTGGTGCAAAATTGACAAAGATGGATTTGGTTGGAAACAAGATTTATATATTTGTTTTATTTATATTCCCCCAAGTAGTTCAACTATGTTGAGAACAGGGCAAGCTTTATCTTTTGAGACTCTACAATCAGAGTGTGCTTGTTACGAACGAAAAGGGTGGGTTCTATTATGCGGCGACTTCAATGCTAGAACGAATGACGTAAATGATTTTATCGAGGATGACGAAGTTGATGACTATTTGCCAATTGACGATAATTACGTGCCGGATCAACATTTAGATAAAAGGGTAAATAGAGACGTCTATCCCATTAATGCTAATGGAACCGCTTTTATTGAATTTTGTAAAGCGTCTGGCTATAGAATTATGAATGGCAGGGTTGACAAGGATAACTCTAGCAATTTCACCTGTTTTGCCAATAAGGGTAACAGTGTAGTTGATTATGCCCTTCTACGTCAAGAAAACTTTCAAATGGTTGAAAAATTGAGTGTCGGTCAGCTGTGTGAGCTCTCAGATCATAGTCCAATTGAAATTTCTATAAAAAGCTCGAATCTTTTAAATACCAATGAAACTCAGTCTGATTTCTCAGGGGTGAATCTAGATACATCTGACGAAAATAATCTCTTTCAGGATTATAAAAAACAATATTACGTCAATGATGAATCCACATTAGAAATTTTATTTTTGGCGATGGAAAGTAGCGAGATAAATAATTTTCTTAAAGATATATCAAACCAACTGGATAATGATGATCTACCTACAGAGGAAATTGTAGAATTATTGCGAACCAAAATGATAGATTTATCTGAAGCTCATTTGAATTCTAGAAATATTTTTCGCAAGACAAAAAATAAAAACAATTTCAAGTCGAAAAATAATTGCCCTTGGTTTGATGATGAATGTAAGGAAAACAAACAGTTACTAAACAACAAAAGAAAAGCATATCAAGTTGCACTGAAACTTCCCTCCAATTTTAGAGATAATCACGTGAATAATCTTAAGTCGGCTTATTTTCAACAGCGAAGGGTTTATAAGAAACTAATAAGATACAAACGCCACAGTTTCCTTGAAAATAAGAAAAAGGAACTTTGGAAGCTGAAAGGGGAGGCTCCGAAAGTATTTTGGAAAAAGTTGAAAAACAGAAAAGAAAGACCCAGTCTAAACTTTTCTAATAACCAATTATCGAATTATTTCAGTACTCTTTTAAACTCTGAAGATAAAAGAGACAACAGTGTACCTGAAAACCTTGCGCCTTCTATCGACATCATGACGCAAAATCTAATTGATGAAACTTTAAATCGTGATATTTCCTTAGAGGAAGTCAAACTGATGGCTGAAAAGCTCAAAAACGGGAAAGCATCAGGGCTCGATATGTTGACTGCTGAGCTTCTAAAACAGGCAAATGATAATTTCATGCATGTCTTTACCAAACTCTTTAACAAATTATTGAAATCTGGAAAATTCCCGGAGGAATGGTCTGTAGGGATAATTGTAGTTCTTTTTAAGGGAGGTGATGAAACAGACCTGAATAACTACAGGGGTATTACACTGTTAAGTATTTTTGGAAAGTTTTTCTTGGGTGTTTTGTTGGAAAGATTGAATAACATTATTACTCAATTTGAAATTCTTGAACAAAACCAGATAGGATTTAGAAAAGGATACCAGACATCCGATCATATTTTCACTCTTTGCGCTCTAATTGAAAATTATTTCAAAAACAATAAAGGTTCCCTGTACGTATGTTTCGTGGATTTTAAAAAAGCTTTCGATTCTGTGGACCATAAGCTGCTGTTACAGCAGCTTGTTACATATGGAATAAAGGGTAATTTCCTAAAAGTTATCACATCACTTTATGATAAAGTTAAATCGTGCGTGAGAGGTAAAGATAGCCTTACAAATATTTTTCCATGCAGTAGAGGTGTGAGGCAAGGGTGCCTTCTTAGTCCTGTCCTATTCGCTTTATATTTGAACGATTTAAACCGCCACATTAGAGCATCTTCACAGGGGGTAATGGTGGATGATATACCTGTCCACTCACTTTTATATGCCGACGATCTTGTCTTAATAGCCAAAGATAGAAAAGACCTTCAGTCTCAATTGAATGCATTAGACAAATTTTCAAAATCTCTAAAAATGGACGTGAACATGGACAAAACTAGAGTCATGATAATTCAAAAACAGAAATCCCGTGCTAAATCTACAAAAAATAAAACTTGGAAGATTGGCGATAAAGAAGTTAACGAATGTGTCTCATATAAATATTTAGGTGTAATGTTAAAATCGAACGGGTCTTTCTCAGAACACATCGTTAGAATGAAAGAGAAAGCTCATAAGGCCTATTTTTCCCTTATAGCTAAAAGCAAAGAATGGGGCGGTTTTCAGCCACGTCTTTTTCTCTATCTATTTGATCATACGATTGTTCCTATTCTAAATTATGCATCAGAAATATGGGGTTTTGAAGAATGGTCTAAGCTAGAAACTCTTCATCTAAAAGCCTGTAAATATGCTTTGGGTGTTCGACCTAGTACCACTACCGATGCCGTTTACGCTGAACTGGGAAGAATAAGTCTTCAAACCCATAGACATATACGTATTCTAAGTTTCTTCGCTCGATTATCATCTCTAGATTCAAAACGTTACGCTAGCAAAGCTTTTGCAATGCTTATAAAGGATGCAGACTATGGCCACTCTAACTGGGTATCTCATGCCTGCGACCTTAGGGTACGCTATGGAATACAGGAATCGGATAATCGTTCAGTTATTAAAACTAAGGTTATAAGTTATTTCGAGTCAGAAGTACTGGGAAGATTGAATGAACACATAACTGAGAACAAAAAACTAAATTTATACGCCTCATTTAAAACAATTTACAAATTTGAGTCTTATCTTGATTACATACAAGATTTCACTGTTAGATGCATATTAGCAAAACTAAGAATCAGCGCTCACAATCTTCAAATTGAAACAGGGCGATTTAGTAAAAACAAAACTCCAAGAGATGAAAGGTTTTGTCCGTACTGTAAGACTTTAGATATTTTCAAAGTTGAGGATGAAGTACATTTCCTCTTAACTTGCCCCCTTTTTAACGAGGAACGGCAAATTTTTTTACAAAAAATCCACAAAACATTTCCAAATACTTCCGCGTTGAACGAATTCAATATGTACATTTGGTTAATGAGCCAAGAAGATTATATTACAACAAAGGTTTTAGGAAATTTCTGCAAAAAGTCCTTTGAAAAAAGATCAAAATTTTTAAGCGACCCCACAAGCATTTTAGATTAACAGCTAATAATTTTGTAGCTTAGTAGCTTTTGCTGAAAATTTAGCTTTGTATTCGCCGTAGTTGTTTTGTTATTAATGCGTAGTTAAAAATGTAATTGTAAAATTGTAATTCGCTGTAGTACTGTAAGCAGTTAAGGGCCATCTCGGCCTAGATACTTGAATTGCAAAAAAAAAAAAAAAAAAAAATAAGTATAGTAGAAAGAAACTATAATGAAGATGATCTATAAAACAAACAGCTTTATCGTAGGTTTTTTGGCAATAACCAAACAGTTAAAACTTAGCAAAAACATTTTTTCAAGATAGTATTAGTTGGACCCATTCCTGTCATCGTGCGAAAGGGTACCAGCAAGGTAAGATCATCAGCAATAAATGCTGAGCCTTAATGTAATACAAAGGCTGGAAACCCCGACTATCGGCCCAAATATGCATGGAAACTTTGAATTGAACACAAATCATGAAAACAATCATGTATTAGCATATTATCACCAATTCTTTGCTGTTTTAATAAATTATCACATCCTACCGATTTTTTACCATACCCCTAAAGGCCAACAAGCGCTCCACTCATCAAATTCTCCAACTATTTCTCGACTATCGATCCAAATATGCATGGAAACTTTGAATTGAAGGAGACTGTTGCTCCACTTATTCTCAACTTAATTGGGTATCCAATTATATAATGATATTTCACTTGCAATTATTCAAAATACATACAAAAAGAAGGAATGGAATGATTGATATAAGCAGATTTGATATTTTGCAAAACAACGATATATCGTACAATTTATAACGTAAATTTCAATTAACATTTGTACCCAGAAAATACAAGAATTAGAAAAGAGTCTCTAAACGCTATCTTCAGATAAATATGTCCCAGGATCATATTCTGTTCTCTCTTCAAATGCAAAGTCATCGAATTGATTGGGTTCCTCTTCCACTTCATCTTCCACATCTGAATCGTAAAACCTGGAAGGGTTACTCTTTTGAATAGATGTTGTGGCGTCGGTACTCAAAAGCGAGTTCACTAGTTCTTCGCTCAACCCCCCTTCATCCACGAACATCTTTCCATTATACGATATCAAGCTTTCAAAATCTGACAATTTGCCTTTTAAGAGACTTAAAGCTCCCCTGGTGTATTTGCTTCTTGAAAGTCCTGATTGTCTATGTATTGCCGAGGCAATTTTCATTTTTTCTCCAATTAGATGCTGCATTATGCAGGCCATGTCCTGCTTGCACAACTCGATTTCTTCTCTAGCTCTGTGACGCATAACATCGAGTTCTACAGCCTTCCGTTTGACTTCTGATGGAATGGCTTCACTGTCAAAGCTTGGAAGGTCTCGGTATAAGGCACTTTGGATATCCAAAGCATCTTTGCAATCAATCTTACGTGTTGTGTCTGGCACAAGGTTCATCTTCACTGCAGGTCTAGAGTTATATATGCGTATGGTTTGCTTGATATTGCTAACTTTAATGTTTATACTTTTTGAAAGCATTTTTGCAATTTTTTGACCAGCTACAATACGAAAAGGAAAAGATATTAATAAAAAAACATTCAAAATTTTTAAAGGGGATTCAAAGTACAGAAATAACAGTTCATTGTGGCAATGCCGGTTTCATCAGGTCATACAGATTCTTCTGGCAAAACAATTTTCACCGTAGCCAAGGCAGCTGCTATTTCCTGCTTTGGCTTGAAACGTTCCATTTTTATCAGGGGATGATGTATTATCACATTACTATTCGAAGTAAACGTACTTGCATATTTCTTCTTCAACGACAGGAGGAACCATCGATCGAAGGACATGATCCGCAGCTTTTCTATTGCCTCTTGCCGTTCTTCACTTTCAATTACACAAACATGATTTTTGATGTTTTGCTGGTCAATTGTCCATCGACGGCGAACATTGTTACTTTCTTCCAACCTTTTCAACTGTGCTTCTACTCTGAAATCCCGAACAAATAACAGATAATGTCAGTTAACATATAAGCGTTATTGAGCAAAAAGAGATAAAACACTTTATGATAAGAGATATCCGCTGAGACAAACGCCAAAATGATGCCATGCTTCTAATTTTCACCCCAGTCAACAGGGCTTCCTCAGAGCTACTGCTGTTAAAGCAAGGGTGATCATAAGCTGTCAAATTAAAAGGACTTTCTTGCAGTCAATTTTATTTACTAACGCAAATAATGATTTATCAGGTGGTTAAATAATGCCCTATGGTAAATTGAAATATAATTTAAGCAAAGTTGTTAAAAAAATTAAGTATCCTATGTAATAGGGTATTTCATTTTACCCTCAACACAACAACAAAATATAATTCACTGACCTTTTCATCTTATTTAGAAGTGGGTTAACTGACATGTTTTCCTCGGAATCACAGGAGTGGCTTAAGTTTTCACTAGAAAAAGCCATAGGAAATTTAGAAACTTGATGAACCCTGTCAGCTGAAAGATAAACTTTTAAGAATGAAAGATAAAACATAGATGGAATATTTGAAAATAAATCGAACATTACCTCAACTGTTTTTTCAGCAAAAGAAGACGGACGTAGTTTAATTGCCAGCCTTGCTCAGTAGACTCACTAGTTTCTGGACAAATAACAAAACATCAACTTGAAATTTAATATAAAACTTGTGCAAAAATATTACGCATTTTAAAAACCCGTTCAAGTTAGTAACAATGATCAATGACTACTAACACTATTGAGAGATACTTATGCCTTATTCACATTCATGATATTCATATTCATGACACAAAAATTTAACAGTAATCAAAGGATGACATTATAGTCAGTTGGAATAACTTTCCTTTATTTGAGAAAACATTTTATTCCTTCAGTTGAATCCAAAGTAAGTTGCAAACCTTTCATCCGATTCTTGGATAAGTTTGTGAGTTGTTTTTTCCACTCAATGACTTGATCTTTTTCAACTATTATGAAAAGCAGCAAAATGGGTTGTTGAAAATTTAGGAGAAAAAATCAGCAGAATCAAGTTAATAAAAACGACAGTTATACCAGTGTTAATAATTTGCTGCTTATTCAAAAAATATTTATCACTGAAGCAGTTGCTTTTTGATAACGAAAATATCTCAGCAGTTCATAACAAACCTAAATGCGAGAATCACTTTCAGTTTTGATATTAAAAGAACAATTATCAATTAGCATTGAGATAAACAGGGATTCATATATCCTGATCATACCTGGCAGGTCTTCTAAAAGATTCGATAACTCTGCAGAGGAAGTTTTGTAAGCATCATTGGCTCTTTTTAAGCGACTGGCAGCTAACAGACCTGGAAAGTACATTAAATGCTGCAAAGTTATACTTTTAGATAGTTTTATATAAAAATATATAAGGTTTCATCATATGGATAGACTAGGATGTCAAACAAATAAACAAAGAATGAATCTTAGCTACCTGCTTTCATCCTTGTTTTATGGGAGTAATATAAAAGGGCGTCAGTAAGTGCATCTTGGCGATGAGAAGCAGTCATTTCTCTTGTAATATTGCTGAAACGTCGCAAATATGACCAAAGCCGTTCGCATTGTTCACCATTAGATAGACCAGCACCATCTTGATACATAATTGAATATTTCATCTAATAGAGACAATTAAAAACAAAGTTTTGTATCTGGTAACATATGAATTCAAAATCTCAATTAACAAAAAAGAATCTTCAAGTGAAAATATTAAAAACTTTGTTTTACCTGACAGGATGTGGAATGGGCAAATGCATGAAAGGCTGGCACCATGCAAGTGACTTTTCCCAATAATTTTTGGTTGTCAGCCAGCTAAATAAAAATAAAATCTGTTTAATTTTGATCATCAGAATAACCTAGCTTAATGTACATACATTTGAAAATTTGAAGATTTGCAAAACATTTATAATTTGCTCTTTTTGTCACAACTGAAGAAAAAAAACATACCTCAATATGACGGTCAAGTTTACAGCCAATATCATAAATGACATTCCTTTTTGTTCTTATGTTCCTCCCATCCTCCAACAGCTGTTCTAGTAGATACGTTATGTACCCAAACCTGTTATCATTACACAATATTAGTAGTACCAATAATTACATCACATTTTTAAGCAGGCCTTGATGAATAAAACATTTCTGTTTGAATACTGTGAAAATAGTCTCTGTGAAACAATGTTTTGATAAATTGGAATCAAAATTGATAAACTTTGGATTTGATAATTATCTACAAATGAACTATATTTTTTAATTCATGGAAATAATTTATTGTTTTCAAAGCCACATTTTATCTACCAATGAAATTTGTTTATCAGATTATTATGTCATTTTGTATTTTCTTTATGTACATTTGAACTACATTAAAGCCAATCAATATCCTATCAACTTTAAGTTGAGATAACAATAAGCTGAAGCAGAATCTTACCTTTCTCCATGCTTTATGTCCAAGAAACGTAAAGGGAATTCATGCCTACAAACACAACCAAAGACAGCCTTCTCATCAAACAATTTGCTCTTTCCTTTTGAATGAATTGCATCAACTTCTGTACCAGCTTGGAACTGGCTACATTCCTGTAGAAAACGTGGATTTTCAGTTTTATAGTATAAAAGAAAAGATAGCAATAAGAATATGCTTTAGTGGACATGTGAAAGCATTCCTGATCCAAAATAAAATACATAAGAGACTCACTCAAGCAAGATTTAGGGTTGTGAAGCTCACCTTCAGATTTTCTGACCCTTTTTCTTTTTGCGAGGTCTTGCATTTTGCAAGGTAATTATCGACAAACTCCTGTTCCTCGAAATATAACGGTCCATGGAGAGAAGGGAATGGAAATTTCCCAGCAGATTTTTTCCGAAATAATCCAAAGCATGCATCAAAGTTCCAAAAGGTAGGAGCTATTCCATCCTACAAAACAAAACAAGAAATTATCACCCTAATATTGACCAAAAACATGACAAGAAATTTCATTGGAATCAATATACTTTCTAAGATGCAAATTGATGTAGAGTTGAATAAAGAAAAGTGACATTTAGCTTTTGATGTATAGATGGCTATAAATATACTGACAATCAGTAAAAGAACAACTTTGGTGAACATTTTGCTGGAAGCTTCTTCAGACTCACATTATTTTCAAGAAATATTAAGAACATACATGCATATATTGTTAAACTAGGTTTCATCTTTTCGCTTATAAAATAGGGTTGCTTTTGTTCCTGTATCTTGTGAGTCATTATTTTACGTTCCAAATGTAAGTGAAAGTTATTCTGAAGAATCATATCATGAAATGTTAACCAAGTTGTTGTTTACTGATTATCTATTTAAAGTCTAAACAAACATTAGAGTCACAAGTTTTTGAGATCACTTTATTTCATGGATTTTCCTTTAAGAAGCATATAACTGGCTGTAGTTTAAAAGATTATAAACCTTAGGACATGCAGGACACTCTGTTCCATTGTTTACATCTGGGCAAAGTGTTCGCAGGAATCTGATTTTGTACATGAAATGTCTAGAGATAAAATGAGAAATAGCAAAAGTAGATGGAAAATTTTATGTAAAATAAATAGCAATATGAATACTTTAAGTAAATGTGGGAGGGCCTTCTTTACCAAAGGGTCACTGATGGTAACTACTAGGAAATAAGAAATCAGTACCTACCTGTATTGTTCAAAAGTATCATTGGATGTGAGATTGTTGTATAGGTCACTAACCTATGAAAAAAATGTTTGAATTAAAAACATTGTTATGGATGACATTTCAAACTTCAATTTAACTGAAGTAACATAGATATTTACCAAAAAGTTGAAGATATGTAACAAAATGTAAAAAAATATCAATATGCAAAAGTTGATTATGCCCAAGTTAACTAACATTTATGGACATGTGTCTGAAGCTGTGATATAAAAAAGTCTACTTACAAGACATGATTTTCCAGAAGAGATATTTCGCCATCTCAAGGCACTGCAAAAGCTATTCAATGATACTTGAGCTTCTAAGAAAAAGGCTTCAAGAATATCCATTAGCTCCAAAGTTACTGCTACTGATGGGCATGTAGGAGAAACTGGCCAAAATCCATGTTTAATAAGCACAAATGCATCTGGCACACAGCTACAAAAAGTCACTTTACAATATTTTTCATAGCCTGCAAGATAAAAGAAATTTAGGGGTATAAATAATGATACAAATACTAAAAAACTATATATAAAAGAATTAAATCAATGCACATAGAATGAGAAGCTTACACATACATCATATAAACATACAGATTTCATACTACATTTTATACTTCAATTTATTTGGCTTTGTATTCTGAAGTTGTATGACACATTATGATTATCACCTAGTGTCATTGTTAACATACAATAGCTAGTAACTGTAATCTACTATAAAAATAATTCTTGAAAAAATATACAATAAGAAATAAATTCAACAATATTTGGTTGTCAGTTTCTCTGGAAACACTAAAACCACAAAAGAGAACTTTTTACAATTATATTAAACAAGAACACACCAGCATTTGTAATAATACACAATTGTCTGGTTGATTTGAAACAATTCATCATATGCACAATCCCTTGTGGCAAACAAAGCTCTGGAGTATATTCTAGCTCTGTGAATGTTCCTTCCTTAAAAAGAGATTTACAAATAACTTGATTGTCATAATAAAAAGAGAGTTTCACTTTGTCATTCATAAAATACCATAAACATGATATTAAACAGACTGACTGAGAATTAATTTACAATTTTAAACATGCTAGCTTCTTTCAAAATGTGTTAAAGGTTTTAAAAAATGATGATATAGAAGGTCATTAAAAGAATAATATGATAAATCTTATAACAATCTACCAATAGGTTTAAAAGTCACTAAAGCAAAGCTGTTGCCACTTTCACCATCACATCCTGACACAAAAAAACTACAAATAAGTACTCTCTTACATTTTAAAGAGAACATCAAAGCTAAAGTTTCTTTCCTGCATTTTTTGTGAAATTTTGTAGAATAACAAAGAGCAAACAAGGTCAAAGGGAGCAAATAAATACCTTCCATTCTTCCAACATATGCAAACAATTTCTTTTGTTGTGGAAATACAGAGCACAATTTAGACAAAAGAATTGCTGATGACCACAATCCTTGCAACGAACTTTGGCTTCTTCTTCACCACAAATGACACATGACTGTTCTTCGGGGATGCAGCAATTTTCAATAAAGCAATGCATCAAGGAATCTTGTATTTCATCCCACTTTTCCAGCTTCTTTTCTTTTTTCTTAAAGTATGCTGACTTTTTATTTCTAAAATTCCAAATACGTTCTGTTAGCATAAGAAATATTAAATCCAAGTGTAGAGTTTTATATATTTTTCCTAGCATAGAGTTTTTGATCTTTGTTCTAATGTTTTATATCCATAAGAGTGTCAGACGAAAAGCTTTGGTATACTCAAATGTTTGGTTTTTTCAAAGCCATTTTTAAGTTTTGTAACACCAAATGATTGTTTAAATATTAAATCTTTGCACGATATACTGTCAACCTACTTGGAAAAAGTTGGAAATTAAATTCGGCAAAGTTGGAAATTAACAGGCCGGTAGCCATTATGAATCTAGACCCAAGACGAATTCCTTGACTTCTGCTCGATTTTAGACCCCTTATTCAAAGAATAAGTAACATCGAATTGATCTTTATTTAAACAACACATTTGCCTACGTTGAATACATCCATACCTTGCTTCGTCATCAGGTGCATCGACAGTCGAACTTGGGCCTAACAACAGATCATGGCACACTATTTCAGGAATACTGTCTGAAACATTTTCGGGAGGCCTCTCTCGATGACCAGCTAATGGTAATTGACGTAATCTTTCTGGTGATCTTCTTGGGATTTTTTTAATGCTTCGACAGTTAAACGAGAAGACTTCGATGTCGTCGTCGATTTCTTTCACTCTTCTTCGCCGACGACCCGCCATTAACGCGGTTACCCTAGTTGCCGTCGGTCCAAAACAAAACTGCGGAGTGGTCGATCAATGCGACGATTAATCATACAATTCGCGCGCTTTTAAAGTGGGCGCTTGGGAGTACTCAGAGTTCATAGACTCGCCTTGATACAAACGGGATTAATCAAATGATTAACCTCGTTATGATCGATTGATCAGAGACGGAACGGGTG